ATTACGGACAAAAAAATCGGGAAAAAGTGCCACCTATACCGATTGTTGATCGTCTCTAGAGCAGCAGTCTCAAAATGTACAGTGATGATATTTGTGAAAAACACATTTGAATCAATGACTTTTGAAAATTATTGTTTTAATTCTATAATATCCCTGATGTTATATCGAATATATTTTTAATACTGTTCGTTTTTATACTAAATTTTCTTTAGCATCTTCTCACCAGAGAAGAATGAGACGAATATCACATCATAATTTGTATAGTGATAAATGATTCATAACTCTCTTTGAGTAAAAAATATTTGAGAAACATGATACCGATGTAAACTCAAGTTTTGCAATTTTCGATCGTTGAAAATCTTTTTCACTCCATAATCAAATCATGCCAATTTTGATACTGGAAAATAACCCCTCCGCCATCAATAAAAGACAGAAATTGTAATAATTTCGTTTATTTTCAATTTTGAATTGTTAACATATACATCACACATAGTATTTACCTAATTCTATGAAGTCAGGTGGATAAGCCCGACCAATTTTTTGGTGCACAGAAAATTTTGATATATTCGTTGACGGTTTGTACAACAGACTCTAAAGGATATAATGCGCGAAAAAGTAATCAGTCTTGTAGAAGTGCGGTTATGTCCATACCGTATATCTGACTACAAGTCTAAAAACTTATGAACAACGCCTAAGTTGAAAATAAGTCCTCATGGAATAATCACGATCAATTCATTCCTTCATGATCTATATTTCAACTCATCAAAGAATACTGAAACCAGAACTTGTCTCAATTTTTCGATTGACTTGGGCAAAAACGATAATGAAACTATAGATAAATGTATCACGTCAATACAGTTCAATTTGAAAAATATTTCGACATTATTTTGAATGATCCAATGGTTCGAATCATTACTGGATGCTGAATCTCTATGTTGTCAGATTTACTGTTTTTTTTTTGTGATAAGTCTTGTGTCGTGTTGATCTTGGTGTTCTTGGAAATAGTGAAAATCAAATAATAATTGTAGTATACTGCTACTAAGATAAAAGTGATGAAAATGAGTAAAAGGACAATATTTCATTTCGCAGATTACAAAAATTACAAATGCACCGAATAATGAAAACTTCAATTTGAATAGTTTTACGTCTAATGATTTTGTAGAAATGATGTATTTTCCTAATGAATGAATAAACCTACAGGGTGTTTCCTAACTACGGTACAAATCTTCAGAGAGTGATTTGTTAGGTAACGTTCGTTTCTGTAATACAGGGCGTTGAAGTTAAAAAAACATCAGCATTTCTTGAATATCTTAAATACCCTTGAACTGATTAGGTTGAAATTTAGTATTTATTTGAATTAATAAGGCGCTTATTCAGCCCTAACTAGACTGAAATTATTGCGTCCAGTGGCGTCTCAGTAGGCACTATAGCCTGAGGAGAAAAGTAACGCCACTTTATTTGTACTTTTTTAATTTTACAAAGTATAACTATTTGGTATTTTGTGTTTCCTTGATATTTAGGTGACTTGGTACTTACTCTTCAACTCCTCTAATTTCGAGCTAGTAATGAAATTTGACCTAATCAGTTAAAATTTAAGCCCTCTATCTCACAAACGAAGCAACTCCAGAGATATGTTCTTATAGAAACTTACTTTTCTATAAAATAACCTAACGGATCATCGTTTGATGTTTCGTACCGTGAGTAGAAAATACCCTGTATATTTCCATGGAAACTTTCTTACCACATGATGGTTTGGATGTATACTTGTAGGGAGACAGACGATATGGATAGTCGAATATATCAAAATTTTCATAGTAGTTATTTCTCATATAAATATTCAAGTTAAATTAACTAGTATTATTTTTAAATAAACATCTACTTCTAACAACACTTTTGATATAATGGCACATTACTAATATTCCTAAATCAACCAACTGACAGAATACTCAAACTCCAATTACTGAATACACCGGGTCAGTTCCACAAAATGGTGTGCCCAATTGTTAATTATAAGATGTCGCTAAAGTCAAAGTTTTTAACTTTTACTCAACTAGTTTTCTTATGACAGAACGTTCAATATGTACATCTATAAAAGCTAACTTATCCTTACGTCGATATGTGCACAATACCGGTGCTTATACAAATTTTGGAAACTTTATACAATTCGAAATATCTTGAGATTTACAAATTCAATGGTTCCAATTCCATTTCTCTAATGCACCAAATTTAGAAAATCAGATGAGATCTTGCGTAATATTATTTATATTTAGTTAATATTTATAAAAAATCCTTTATATTTACAGAAATGCGTATCAACTTTAATGCCTATATTCTCAGATTGTTATTTGTAGTATCCAAAGTAAGACTATTTATGCGAAAGAATCACAAGAATCAATGGTAAAAAATCTGTCTCATATCAAAATATTCGACCAGAGTAAATAGAAATATTGGAAAGAAATTGTTATCACTACAGGACGTGTCTGGAAGGTGGTTTTTTTCATTATTGCAAACTGAATAATTGTCAATAGTACCTATGTATTGTTTCATATGTAGCTATGTGCTATGACACTGCATTATTTGATACCATGTAGGTATATATCGTGATAATTCGATTCAACTATATCATCATATTGTTTTCTTCCAACATTTCTACCAACGTGTGGTCAAATCAAACGTTTTTTCATTGAATCGTATTATTAGAAAAGTTTTCAGGAATGTTCACCAAACCAAAACAATGTACTGTAATCATCCAAAACAAATGAAACGAATACTTTCGGTTATTATATCTGAGAGAATCAGAGTGCATAGAAGAAGATCTGAATTTGAGGAAAGAGTGCGAATTCAGATAAAGAAGTCAAAGAATAAATTAAATGTGAATGAAATGAACAAGGATATGTTCGACTAAAGGAGAGGATTAGACTACTGTCTGAATTAAGGATGAAACTGTAAATTCCTTTGGGTATGCAGTCAAAGTCAAACAAAGTTTAGGATTATATGACTTTCATTATCTGAATACTCGTCTGACGTAGCTTTTTGATGTCTTTCTTATTGTAGTACTTCCTGTAACAAATAATTTTTGCTGATGATGAAGCTCTTAGAACTCTCGAAACATGTCCCAATTCCAATGTTGAATAAAGTTTAGTTTTGGTGAAGTTGACTGTAAGATTTTCTTTCTGCCCTATTATCGTCACTCCACTGCAAGGTGGATCGACTCAGATGTTTAAAGTGTACTCTTGTTTCTGTTCAAGCTTTCGAGTCTTTATTGTCTCTTCATCAGGAACTCTACGAAACATTAAAATTGATATGAAATTCAATCGTTATTATCGATTAGTAAAACACTAACGGAAAATGAGGTTTCGTTGAAGCTGACTTCCGTTAAGTGGGGTATAATACAGGTTTAAAAGAATATGCACAATATGAAAACATCAATATTTTCAAAGATCAATAAAAAGTATTACATTATACTTGAATTATGTCGAGAAAACTTGCAAAGCTTCTCTGGTACGATAATTATTACTTATCACAAAAACATCAGAACATTAACATGGACACCTGTTCAAAAGAATTATGTAATGATGAAAACTTCATATGTCATGAGTCAATTGTCAAAATTCAAAAAGTTCAGAATCAACGGTATTTTTATTAGATGGAATAAAAAACAGAAGAGGAAGTGGACATTCCAATGATGGTATTGCCAACTGTTCATATCTTACCGGAAATTTTAATATTCTTCATTGATTAATAAATTGATTATTACGCGATTTTCTGATGAACTGAAATTGTCTATGTCAGTTCTAGTATTAACAGTATTAGTTGATTCGAAATTATGTGTCATTTCTGAGAAAGTTCTTTTTTTTAGGTTTGATTCATGTTCTAATGTGACAATATTGATGCAAGAATCAAACTTGACGAAAGGAACTTTCTTAAAAATGACACATATTTTCGATTCAACCAATGCTATTAATATTAAAACTGACATAGACAATTTAAGCATAATTTAGTCTCACATTTCCAGTTTACAAGAAAGTCGCAATCATATAACAATCAATGGAGAATTTTAAAATTCCCGGTCAAATATGATTAGTTGGCAATATCATCATTGGAATGTCCACTTCCTCTTCTGTTTTTTATTCAGTTCAATAAAAATACCGTTGATTCTAAACTTTTCGAATTTTGAAAATTGACTCATGACAGATGAAAGTTCGATTACACAATTCTTTTAGACAGGTATCCATGTTACTGTTCTAATTGTCAGCCATGTTGTGATAAGTAATAATTATCGTAGCAGAAATGCTTTGCAAGTTTTCTATAGACATAATTCAAGTGTAATGTAACATGTCCTCTAGTAATCTCCAAAAATGTTTTCATGTTGTGAATGTTCTTTTACACATGTATTATTTCCCACTTAACGGAAGCCAGCTTCAACGAAATCTCATTTATCATAAGTGTTATAGTAATCGATAATAACGAGTGAATGTCATGAATTTTAGAGCCGATAAAGACTCGAAAGCTTGAACAAAAACAAGAGTACACTTTTTTACTTTGACTGCATACCCAATCACAGTTTCATCGATATATTTAACTGTATCTATGGAATGACTCAATCCTTATGATACTACTTTTTATTGTGAACCTCCCTGAAAGTACTGCAGAAACATCTGCTGAAGTTTATGTTTCCCGCGCTGACATCATATACAGAAAGATCAACAAATTCAGGTTAACATCCTTGAATCTCGAACGACTTTCTTAAAATTCATAATGAGTTATAAAATCAGATTGGTGACGCACGATATTGATGACTATATCACATCATAAGTGTTTGGTGCACCATTCCTGTAGTAACTCAGTGAATTCATCTCCAGTGAGGAACGGCAGCTAAAACCCACGGAAGCTCATACCGAGCCACGAAAAACTATACAAAACTGACTCGGCACCTCTATACAATCGCCTAAAATCGACTCTCATCGACATTTCAATGAATATGTACACGAACCGATCTCCTAACACTTTTGCGTGGCTGCCAGGTACATGTAGTACTGCGCCAGCGACAACAGATACACCATGTTGCTATTGGTACCTTTTTCGTAGTTGATCTGGCGCTCCTGCTGCCTTGCGTTGTCCGCCGCCACTTTCAGCAGCCCCTGTATATTTCTTAGCAGCGTCTCGGTGGAGGAGACACTGGCCTCTTGGCTGGGACCGTTTGCCGAGGCCACAGCGCTGGCCAAGGTGGAATAGTTGAGGGCTGCTTGCTGTGAGTCGCAGCCCGGGGCTGCCGGAAGAGGTAGATCGCCGTCGTCCAGGTCTGCAAACAAATAGACTAATTTTATGGTGGTTTACACTACTGCTTGAAGATTGGGTTGTGGGATATCACACGGTCCAAGACTGATGAAGGTACGGGAGCCAGAGTATATGGAGATAGACCCAGAACTAGGATTAGTGCTTCCTTGGGGAGGTATGCTTCAGTATTCTAGGCAGAGGTGCATGCTATTGAGGCATGTCTGAGAGAGAATATCGTAAGAGGATACAGTGGTAAACAGATCCTCACATGCTCAGATAGTCAGACGGCCATTCAATCTTTAACATGCAATAAAATCAGATCAAGACTGGTCTGGGATTGCCTTCAAAGCCTGCTAACCCTGGCTAACCACAACAAGGGAACTCTTCGATGGGTGCCAGGGCATAAGGGAATTGAAGGCAATGAAGCAGCTGACGCTGTTGCTAGGCGAGGGTCTGCGGCCTTGTTTGTGGGACCGGAACCTGTGTTCGGTAACCCCAAAACCTCAATACGCGGCTGGCTGGCAAGGTTTATGCAAGAAAGACATCAGGCATACTGGAACAATGTCCCAGGACGAAGACACAGTAAACTGATGGTTGAAACACTGTCCAAAACAGTGGCTAACGACATTCTGAGCCTGAACAGAAGTCAGATCAGACAAGTGACGGGACTAATAACCGGTCACTGCCCCTTGAGGAAACATATGCATCAAATGAGCATCTATACAGACGAACCCATATGCAGACTATGCAATGAGGAGGAGGAAACTGCCACCTATGTAATATTGGAGTGCGAAGCACTAGCGCGTTGGAGAGCATCAAACTCTCAAGAGGCTTTTCCAACGAATGATGTGATGAAGAGGCCGCTAAACCTTATCAAGGTAGCGAACCTCTTCAACTAAGTCAACTGCATGATGAGGAATACAATAGGTCCAAAGGTTGCAGTGTTTTGGGCTTCGAACCCTGACTGATCATTCTGCTATTAATCAATCAATCAATAATCAATCACACGGTTCGGTTCTCGGGCCTCTCTTATTATTCATCTATGCAAGATCACTATTTACATCATTTATCTACTACCGATATGTATAATGTGAAACATCACGACACTGGTTTCAGTTTCGTAATGGGATACTTTACCGCACTAGTACTGTTACTGTGAAGTGTTACTTTGCCGCACTAGTGCGCTAAAGTGGAAACATTATTTAAAATTTTAGTTTTTCACCAAACGGAAATGTTGATTTACGTATCAAGGGTAGAGCTAGATCACGGTCGTCCTGGTCTGCAATGAAACGGGCTAATTTTATGGTGGTTCACATTTTGCTCGGAGAGTGGGGTGTGGGGTGTCACACGGTTCGGTTCTGGGGCCTCTCTTCTTATTTATCTATTCAAGGTCACTATTTAAACTGGTCAACATTGATAACGTCGTGGTCCAAAATATAGCCTAAATTCAAAGTAGAATAGCTCACGAATTTCTTCACCAATTTGAAATCGGTTTTCACCGATGATTAGCCTAATCTCTTGAAAGTGTGTCGTGGCAAAATGGAACTTCTGTGATTTCAGGGAACAGGGTGATAATTGAATGGGTGTAAAATGGCATCGTGGTCTTCACCTTACCGTTTGAACAGATATTTTTTTTATTTCTCTTCTCACCTGTATCCTCTTGATTGATGCTTCATCTCGAAACGTTTTCGGGATTTTTAAATTCAGAGCTTTGATAATCGTGTTATGGATAATCATCAAAAATGATGCATTTTTTCGACGATTTATCGAATGAAATTGGAAATTGGGAATATTTTTCGAAGAATCTTGTATGTATAAACGTCATATATGTGATTGTGTTCAAACACAGAAAATTCTGAAGAAGTCTATGCAAACTTATACAAGAAATACTGAATGATGGAATGGAGAATAACGTATTCTTCAGTAGATGAAACATAATTTTCTCTGTGTTACTAGTGCAATGATGGAGTGTTACTTCGTCATGGGGATGTCTGGTGTCTGACCTCGAAATGGTTTTGTAATTTCTCGGATCGAAATTTCATCGTCAATGTCATGGTAACCTAGACATGCCTCATTTGTTCATATGATGGCAAATTTAAAATTTGTTCTAAAATTTGTTCTAAAATTTGTTCTATCCGTCATTCGGTTGACCCCTTACGAGCAACCCTCAAAAGTCTTCGATAGTCTTTTCAGAGAATGCCAAACTGGATATTTTTACATTTCATCGAGATAGGTCTAATTCAGTCTATGAAAAATATCATGAAATGAAAACTGTTCGTTTTAGGATCCAATGGATCTGTATTTGAAAACAGCACTCGAAGATGTTCTATGGACCAATCAACCTTCGACTCGGAAAAATTTTCAATATATTCATGTTCTCGAAAAGAAATCCAGTGATAATTGAAGCTCTCGCGGGGTATATATCAAAAGTGATAATTCATAAATAGAAATCATTGAGCAGCGATATCGAAATGAATGATGGTAACTGGTTCACCTTGATCGAGCTCGAATTGAAATCAGCAATCAATTTCTCAATCAATTCGCAATTTCAACGTGACAGCAACATCAACCGGAGTCGTTAAATCGCAAATAGCCAAAAGCAAACATTCTAAATAAGTTATCAAACGAGCATGTCAGCGAGCCATCTATCTACCCGCTGTGCGCTGCACAACAAACATTAAGGCATCCTCTTTCAGTTTCCCATGAGTCAAAATATAAAGGAATTAGCATCTCATAACTCTCGGAGATTGGGTGATCATCGTTAAAACAGCACGAACGCGGTATTAGTGTTGATTTATTTCTATATTTGATAATGCCTCGCATCGTTTTTCACGTAAAGGTAGGCCATGATCCTCAAATTCGTTGCGTTTTCATGTCATATCGATCCTGTATTGGTCCCGTGAAGTCTTCAGGATTTCAGGATCTTTAACATATTACTGCAGTTACTGCACTATCGAGTTACTAAAAATGAATTGTCCAGGGTGAGTCAAAAATGTGTACCGAACTTTCTGGAGGTCCTTTTTCAGTTTCTTATGAGTCAAAATATGAAGGAATTAACATCTTATAACTCTTTGAGATTGGGTGATCATCGTTAAAACAGCACGAACGCGGTATCAGTGTTGATTCATTTCTACATTTGATAATGCTTCGCATCGTTTTTCACGTGAAGGGAGGCCTTGACCCTCAAAGTTGTAGCGTTTTTACGTCATATCGATTCTATATTGGTCCTGTGACGTCCTCAGGATTTTTAACATATTACCACAATGGGGAAATTTCCTATATTGAGGATTTTACCTCGATGTGAAGTTTGTAACATGTGTACCAAGCTTTCTAGAGGTCCACAAAAAAGGGATATAAAAGGTTTTTCGATCTTACCTGAATAATTCTCATGAATCACTCATTTGCAGAATGAAGTTGATTACTAATGAAAATAAATGATGATATTTTGCAATGAAATCTATAGTTATTCACTCTCATTATGTAACAAAATGTAAATCATAACTTGTTAGTTATATTTTCACAAATGAATTCGTTCTTTAATGATAAAACGGATCTATTTTCTAGTAAAGTTGCAGATTATTTCTTGCAACAGCGCCTAATACTCTCCGAACTTATTGTGCACGTTAGAACACGTTTGAAAATATGGTGAACGTTTTACAACAACAGTACTGAATAGTTTCGACACAAAAAAAATCCTGTAATTGAAAAATCTCGTTTTTCAACACCCTATATCTCTGTACTCATTCTTGCTAGACCCTAAGTATGATGCATTGAAATTGGCTCTCAAGGAAGAACCTGCAAATGCAATCATATACAAGGTGTCCCATTTAATAAAAATCATCATCAGCCGATATCTTGGAATTCGAACACCCTACAGATAGGAGAACAATTTCAGGTGAGAGTTCTCATGAAACCTTATAACTGTTGTAGCTGACTTTTTTATATATATTTGACGATTTGACTACAATCGAAGGAGAACGCAGGTATTGCCTCACCCCTGAAGAATGAAGTATTTCACGAGACATTCCTCATTCTGTTTTTTTTTATATAAAAATCATCAATTCCTCAATAAATGATCTTAAACTGAAATTTTACTCAAGGTGTTCTATTAGTGGGAGTCAATTCTCTCACTTTAGCAGAATATTAGCAGGAAACATCTTTGAAAGTGGAAGCCTTAAAGCGTCCAACAAAACTTGGAGAATCAAATTTCAATCGAATCTCTAGATTCTCAAGAAGTGATATTATTTCGGATACTTATTGAATTATTGAAAATCCAGGAGTTTGATTGAAGTTTGCTCATCCTAATTTTGTAGGACGGGCTAAATGGTACCAATAGCAATATCAGCATATTTTCAAATATATCTCCAGCAAATATTTTTGCTACCTATAAGAACACTCTGCTGCTATTGGCAAGAACTTTGTTGTTCATAAATAGACGCTATACTGGAGCAGCAAATATCTTTCGTGTATTAGTAATCCACTTTCCAATAACAGAATAATAGATTGTAGCTTCTTTATTGGAATAGTACCTACTATTACTTCACTACGACAGCAAAGTTACTTGGCTCCAACTATGAGTAAATTTTTTATATAGCTCTGCTAACACAGGAAGACGTTTGCAGTAAAGTGCTCTCTTCTGCCGTACTGGAGATTTTGCCTCTCCCCTATGTAGCCAAACTTCTTGGCTGTAATAGTAGACAAAATAGCTATGGCGATAAATAAATTTCCTCAGTGCAGTTAATCTTCTTCAAGATCATTCACCGATCCTAACTTGCGGCCTTGTGGATTCATTAACATCACAGTATAAATATTTTCTTCGGGTTTTCAAGTTCGCATTCGTAGAAGGAGACCGGTTTCTGGTTTCTGTTCCTTTCTCCTTCACTTTGAATGCACGCTAGGAAATGCTGGAGGCGTTTTCGCTGCCCAGACTGCGACCAGACAGATATTCCGAGAAAAACGTATTGTTCTCTAGACAGCAATAGAACAATGCAGTTTCATGTAATTCGATATGATCAACTCCCATTCTATCTGTGATGCGAAGAACATCAACAATTCATTTAATAATCGTCTTATTCATTTTGTAGGGACAACTCGGATAGTATTGACTATGAAGGAAAAAGACGGTCAAGAGCGATATGCTTGTGATTTATATGCTTTCTAGTCGCTGGACTGTTTCAATTATGCTTTGTACAATGTATATCAAACTGTTCTTCAGGAATTCAGGTCGAATGCCTCAGTCGTTTGCATTTCACATGTTTGAACTATAATAGATTACTGTAACCTCAACAGGCGCAAAATTTTTGAAGATTTCTGAAGTCTGTTGTTTGCATGGAGCAATGGTGATGAGATATAATTCTTGATATCACTGGCAAATGAATTGAAAAATACGAAGGAAGAATCTTGAATCTTAACTAAACTCCAGGAATATTGAATCAAGCGCCACTATGAAATTTTGTCGAGATTCTTATTCTTGGGGAAAGAAACTGCTCATTGACATTCAAGCCATGGTATTCTCCAATGCATAATCTGGAATCTTCGGCTCAGTATCTGAGAATTCAGAGGAATGAAATATGTTTCTTCAGCCAATAAATTTCGAGAAACCAAGTACTTGGGACAAGTAAATTGTATTAGGTACCTGAAAATTCTATTCCTGAGACGAATACTCATTTCTTTCCAGTAAGATATTTTGATAATCTTATAGCAAGGGAATTTTGATGGTTTTTGAAGTGAACATTTACTTGTTCATATTGTCGCAACTCAGATGGTTCTAGTAGTTTATATGGCATTATTGAGAACAAACGGCGCCTCCACCACGTGTCGCAACTCAGATGTTGACCCTCCTAACTTAGCTACTCGCTTGGCTTTTTGACGAGAGGTTTTTATCATTTCACCACCCAACCATATTCATCCCCAGATAAAGAGACCGGACAGTTTTCATATAACATTTGACATTAATTTGTTAAATAGAAAAATGGCGGATAAATGCTTGCCACATATGTTAGCCAGCTCTCCTAAGCGAACCACATCAGTTATTGGAGACACCTTGGGGCTTGCAAAAAAGTCCCATTAGGGACTAGTTGCTGACGTGCAAATGTCCCCCACTCCCACTAACACTTATCTAAAACAAATTTTCTCGGGAGCCGTTTGAAATGGTAAATGTTATCACAGTTTTTTATTGTTACAGGTAACTTGTTAAATTCATATAGCCCCTTATTCAAAACCGAGTTGAGCATTTTAGTTGAATTGTATCGTTCAGGCAAAATAAAATCGCTTCGATTTCTGGTGTGATAACTATGTATATCGCTAAAGACCTTTAATCTATCACATAGATAGTTGGGTAACAATTTATGTATTCCCTACCTTGATCCTTTTCGTCCTCGTCCTCGGGATCCGAGATGTTATCCTCGTCGTCGTCTTCTGCCGCCGACCTGGGTGACCTGGGCGAGGGGGGCGCGTCCGGCCCATCTGCCTCGCTGCCCGAGGGATCCAGGGAGCCTGCGCTGCCGCCTCCGCTCTTGGACAGGTTCAGGACCGGACTGTGCTCGGTCGGGGACACTGCAACAGAGGAAAGGACTAACATAACTACTATCTATAATATGTCGGGCACGAGTATTTCATATCCACTTATTTCCTTGCGGAAGCGAGCAAGACATATTATGATCTCTCACTTAGTTTGGTTCCTACTCCGTGGCGGTTTTTTTAAATTTCCGCGTGAATCACTTGTCATACTTTCACAAAGAGAGAGAAACTAGATAACGAGAGAAAAACAACTACTTTCCTGGCTATATGCACAGCCGTCTTCAACTAACAAGCCGTGAAGAAGCAGTCTGGCAACATTGTCCGAACGACCGAACTTGCACCTGTCGGCCATTCAAAGTGTATTGTGTAGGAAGTAAACAAGGAGTTTATGGAAGGTTTTTTAAAAGTTTTCAATTATTAATTGGTGTAATATTGAGATCAAATAATTTTAAACGTATTAGCAACAATCTAGGAATCGACTCGAGACTGAAAGTGTGTGGCAAGTGCATTCAAAATTGTGTTAAATTGGAGGTTATAGTGAAGTGTACTAGTGCTGGTGTATTTGCAAGGGAATTTGTGTTGTTTTTTCAATTTACTCCTGGAAATAAGTAAGTTATTCATTATTCCTTATAAAATATGCCTTCTCATTGTTGTGTGCCAGGATGTAAGTCAAATAACAGCTCTGAAAAAAAGCTGGGAAAGGATCATGTCTCAGTTTTTTTATTCCCAAAAGGGGAAGAATTGCGAAGTAAGTGGATAACAGCAATACCTCGAAAAAACTGGACACCATCTCAACGTTCTACAGTATGTGCAATTCATTTCATTGAGAAAGATATCATCAGGTATGATACATTCCCTCAGCCAGATGGATGGATCAATTGGAAAAAATTTGTTACGAGCACCAAAGTTAGTCAAAACAGCAGTTCCTTAAAATTTTCCAAATTTACCAAAATATTTTTCAAAACCAGCCATCAAGAACTGATCCAAATGAAAGACGTCAGAAATATTTAGATATTCAAAGTAATATAATAGAACAGTTTGAAAAATCAGACCTCATCCACAACTATGAACAGTTAGTTCGGGAATATGTTGAGAAAGTTGAAATTGATACTTGGAAAATCCATAAGACTGATGATAAATTGTATTTTTATGAATTAGATTTGCAAGCAAATGTTTTTTATCCCAATGATGTAAATACTTTACAAATTGTTTCTCAACTTATAATATCCAATGAGATGGAGGTCCAAGTTTTTGTTGGTGATAATAAACTTGGATTCAATGAATTGAAATGGATTCTTACTCATGACATCGTCCACCAATATTAGAATATTGGTGGACGATGCTCATGATATGAAATTGAATAGATGGTCACAACTTGAAAATATTCTAGCTAGATTCAAAAACATCTCAGATCAAACTGACAAACACTCAGATATGAATGAAAAATTCGATATCTCCATAAGTTTTATTTTAACAAAATGTTCAAAATTACGGCTTCAGTTCATGACCAAGGGAATTATTCAACCACATTATTCCTCGTTCTTCACTCTGTAAGTTCACTCTCCTGTATTTTTCACCTATTCTACAAAATAATCCGAGAAAATTACGTTAAACCAAACATTCAAAGCTCGCGCTCATATAAAAACCATTGTATTTTGCTAGGCTCGAATGGGACCGACGGTTTCCGTTCGTGCGACGTTGCCAGTATCTCAGCACGGTTTGTTAGTTGAAGACGGCTGTGCTATATGCTACGCAGAACAATGGATAACATCCTCTCGAAATCTATGCAATATTTTGTATAGACGAATAAAATCGCAAGTGTTTCCTTCCTAATCGCTGAGCTGCGCTTAAGTGGTTCAGGAACGCTGACTACCTGCAGACCGGTTTCGAGCTGTTGGCTCTCATCAGTAGAGGGCTATCCCAGATAGCTTCTTGACCGCTATCTGGTGCGAACCTGATCCAACGTAAACGCATATCAGCATTTATACCATACGAGGCGTTCGAAGTCCGCGAAATGAAAACGTCAACGCCGAACGCCACCTGGCAAGGAAAGAAACACTCCACTCTATGGCATTGTATGTTTTAAGTACCCAGATAGCACCATTTTTCAAACGCAAGACTGCAGTTTTTATTCACAATAAAATCATCGCAAAAATTATTAAAGGAACATATTAGTTATGACATTATGATTCGATATTTTTTTAATTATTGTTCATTATTCGATTTCTTCTACTGAATGTTATGAAATGTGCTACTTGTTCCAACGAGGTGAATGGAGTGAAGTTATTATGCCAAATGTAATTCTCTCAAATTTCCATGGACAGAACGAAATTGAAGTTGACTGTCCCAACCGAGAATTTAATTAATAGTTGTTAAAGTGGGCTTTGGACATTAACACGGCCCAATATACTCGACGATAAATTTCCCAACAAGGGTCACAATTAAATACGCATATGCAGAAATGGAAACGAATGCCCTCCGTCGACTAAATCTCGGAATAAATCGGTGTTCCGGACGATCGCATCAATCTGGATGAACCCCAAATGGATTTATGGACGATTCGGGATGGGAAAAAACCGACTTTGGATTGAACACTCTGGATTTGTATGAACTCGACCGTTTAGCGGACTGCGGAGTGAAACAACCCCTGTGCCACTTTTTGTTATCGCGTGGGAATTCCGAATCCGGGGAAAGACCCGTGAAAATGCACTCCATAGTTGTTATTTGAATGTTTAGCTACCAAATCTCCATACCTACAGTGTTTTCCCTGAAGTAGGTATCATATGGAAAAAAACTTTCAATAGTTATTTATTTCGAATTTCGAACCTGGGCGTTGAGTATTGCTTTGAAAGAGATGGAAAATGACCTAATCAATGCTTCTATTCCATTTGTTCACATGTAGGTATCTCGAATTTGAACATTTTCATTGCATCTTTCTGTTTTTGATATTTTTTCAATTTCAGTAGGTAACTAATCATCAAAAATATCATTTTCTTTCAAAAATAATAATCCTAGCTTCAAATTTCTGTTATATTTGATGCAAAGTTGATGTCTACCCTATTCTAGTATTCCTGAGAGAAATTTATTTTAATTCCAGTACTAAAATGATGCCTATTCATCTATCAAAATATCGTCAAACTGCTTTACGTATCTAAAGTTAAGGACAGTTTTATCGAAGTAACTGATGAACAATACAAAATTGATAGAAATTAATATTCCACCTCCTTGATTAATCCATAGACAGTCTCTGTACTTTTTTTTTAAATTAGAAGTCGGTAAGAAACTAATGATGCGGTTTCGAGAAAAATTCAGTATTTACCATTCCTAGGGCTGAGATCCCGTGGTTTCTGGTCTAAAGGTAAAGGTCTATCAGGATCACATCTTTCTTCTCGTAACCTGAAACAAAAAAAGAGATTAAATTTCCTATAATTTCTCTCGTGCCTATTCAACATTCCATGATGAGACATGGAAAGAGCCCTTGGAGTGTCAACAGCTAATTGACTTCGACAGATACCAAACCATCAGGTTAAATTGTAGATCCACACATTCACCTCAGGTTGAAAATTCAAATATGTCTGAAGTACAAATGAGGTATAGGTATCAACAGCCTAATTTCATTCTTTATACCTAATATATAAATATATAAATTATGAGGAAATAAGAGAAAAAAGGTTTCCTACTATGTTCATTTGTTTTTTGAATAGTATTGAAGCTCAAGTCGATGAGCAATAAAGCAAGGCAGAAACAAAACAAAGTATATTATCGCTCATTGGACATATATAAAGCTTCAATTATATCCATAAAGAGGACGATACAGCCATTTTCATTATAATTTCATTATAAATGCATTACATTTGTAACGAAAATATCAAACATGCAATCTGTCGATTTGATCTTTCCTCGAAAATGCAAATTTCTACAGCGTTTCACAGCTGCCCCAACCGGGGCACTCCTAGCCCACAAAATATCATCTTCAACATGAAAATGTAGAACAAAAAATCAATTATTTTCACTTTCAGAGTTGATCGCTGAAGAGTTAACAGATTTTTCGTGATTGACAGCTGATTTTGTATAGAACCTTGAACAAAAATGGATAATCTTGATTTACAATAGCTATTTATATATCAAGGGAGCAATAGTATCCATTCCCTCCCGTATGTAAAGTTTCAAGGTCGACGCGTAGCATAGGGCATTAAACACACATAGGAGGAAATGAATCGCTGCACCCAAGATATATATATATGATTTTATCTACGAAAGCATATTTCTGGGAACGTCGTTCTCAAAATTTTGCTTCAGGCGGTCTATCTCTCGAGTCTCGCTCGAAATCAGTGTGTTATAGAAATGTAGTATGCCATGGACAATTGACAGTATCTGTCATTTGTCATACTGTCATTTTGAATTAGTTTATTGTAATTGCATTCTGAAGTTTCGATTGAGTAAGTTTAGAATATCAGGAAGGAAATTGATATTTGTTTCATAGTAGTGGTGGAGATACTGATTAGGTACTTGAATTGCACAGATCTTATACGCAGGTATATCTCTACGAAGAAAGCAAGCTGAAGCAAATTTATTTTACTTCCCACGGGAGGTAATTTTTTTTCTTCCGAGGGAGTATATTGACAGGCTTGTGTCCGTAAATCAGGGAGCAAACGCTCATGTTCGATGCAGTGAGTAGATAAATGAATTCTCATCTCTCATCTTTACCAGTCTTGTTAACAATCAGCTATCGTGAAGTAGATTGGACAATTTTGTATAAATATCAAATGACAGAGATATGGAACGCAAAACTGATCCATTGTATTCGAAATGATGAATCTGGAGAAAAGATAAGAATATCTTGGTCTAATGATGTTGTTGTGAACATTGCTGTTATTATAAGATATTTCAATAGTGTGATACCTTGGAACGAAATTGGGTGAATACTTTGCATAAGACTATTAAAACAAAATTTTTGACACGGAGTGAAGTTGTGAGAGTGTGGATTCAAGGTTGCTGTAGCTACAGTTCGTCGTAATAAAAAATTCAAGAGTCCGAACTTGGCAAATGGATGGAAAATATGGAACGCATATACAATACATCCCCGCGTTCTGCTCGTATGAATGTGTTTGTTAACCAAAATTATTATTTACATAGAGGAGCTTGTTATAAGTCGAGTTGACCCTCGGTATATCCCCATGCATTCGTAATGTTAAGTCAACACGCAGACTTTCCATTTATATGAACAGGAGTTTCCTCCTATCCACAGCTTACACCTTTTCAAGCCAGCCATATTTGCTTAGCTTTAATATTTTTCTTTTCGACGTTAATTTTCTATAAACAGCGGTAATGAGTCTTTTTCTTATTTATAAGGTTTTTCCATTTCGTCGTACATTTACGAGTGATCCGAATGGTTTGTATATAGGGTGAAAGGAATTCGCTCTTCACTATTGAAATCTCGTAGATTGTAGATCGTATACATTGTAGATTGTAGGTAGGGGTATATTACGGGAGACCTCTCAATCACTGCGACGTAGATGATCTTTTGTTAATGCCCTTATCTAATTCCAGTCCACTAACCCTGGAATTCTATTGAAGCCTAGAATTTTTCTGACTGCTCTAGGTGCAAGTGTTAGTCTCTGCTAGACCCATTTTCTTGAGGTGGTACCTCAGAGGGCAGTGTCCTGTGAGAAAGGCTTCAGTTTCAGCTCCAGTTTGCTGAGGATGAATAGCTCTTGACCTCCGGAGTTCTATATCTTCCTATTTCCTGAACTCTGCTATTAAGTGACATTTGCTTGTCCCATAGAAAGGCTCAGAACCAAAGAATGTAGACTCTTCACCTTTTTTTGCTAGGCGATCAGCTGCCGTATGATTCCTTCATGCCCTGGAACCCACATAAGTATGACTTTGTTGTCCATACCCAGTAGAATTATTGTTTGAAAGCACGCACGGTAATAGTAATTTATTGATGCAACGAACACTACAGTGTATAGCATAAGTCATTAAAGAAGGTACAACCTAATTAAAATCTCAGAATTTCTCTTGTTAAAAATACATTAATGAAAATCTGACACATGAGTCAAAACATATTAACAAACACTATAGACGATACCCAGCTAAAGCTGTGTCTATTTCTACAACTTATATTACATACACACACAATTATTTATTCATCATTTTACGAAACAAAGATATACATACTTAGAAATATAGTGAACATGCTCAAACTTGCAAATGATTTTAGGGCTTTTAGTACGGCTTGGTTATCTTTTTGGCAACCCTGAAACCATATCAATGTGATGTGGAGAAAGTTAAAACATTCAAGGGGATTGGGAAAATGAAAGAAACGAAACAAATGTTGTCACTTCATTGTATCTATGGGTCCGTAAAATATGATTGAAACCTCCATTTTGTTTATGGGAAGAATGAGGCAATGTGAATGAGAATATGAAATCAATTTGAGGGTTTTTGTTTTAGCAGCAGGTGAGAGGTTTTCTGAAGAATTCAAGTGATTTTATCGGATAGGTACTTGGTAGGCATATATTATATATAGTGATTGTATCTATGGGTCCGTGAAAAATGATTGAAGCCTCCATTTTATTTATAGGAAAAGAGTGGCAATGTGAATGAGATTATGAAATTAATTTGAATGTTTCTCTCTTAGCAGCAGGTGAGAGATTTTGTCAAAAGTTCAAGTGATTTGATGGCATAGATACTTGGTAGGTGTTATATTATTATATAGTGATTTAAAGTAAATACTCCTCGGTAAAGAAACCTACGTAAGGTGTTCTGTTTTTTTCTGTATAATGGAGATGTTTTCTGTACTAAATGTTGCGTATAAAACGAGATCATTCGACTCCATTAATAATTATTTGGATCCCTACCAGCAGAAAGTTCGCTAATGAAAATAGGTAATGTAGCAGAGAAATTCACTCGGCAGTCGTCAGATATGGTGGAGGTTTTAAATGTATCAAGCCCTAAGAATTCCCGCAGAGAGCATCATCAAGGGAGGTCTTTGGATTCTGAGAGATGTTCACCCCTCGCCCTCTCGCGAATCGCTGCCAATGCCCTAATTAAAACAGATGTATTTTTCTAATTGCGGGTTTTGATGTTTTCGGTAGGTCGGTCCGAGACTCCGCTCATATACAAATCTCAAATGTGTGACAACCCTGTATATTCATATTTCGTAGGAGACACCTAACACGACAGCACTTTATCAAAACTCCTTCATCCATAGAACGGCTAGGCTCTGGAATTCATTGCCTGAGGAAGTATTCCCAACAACATATAATCTCCAGAAGTTCAAAAAACTTCCAATACCTACCTCCTGTCACTATCCTCCCTAGGAACGCACGATGTTCTTTGAACATTATAGGGATTTCCTTCCGTGCGCTTCAAGCGATAAACAAAAAACAGTAATAACGGAATAAAACTCGAAATCATCTCCACGACAGTTTACTAAATGAACAATGTCACATCAGGGGAAACATGTTTTCGAACATACATAGGTATGTCCATCATCAGCCTATAAGAAATTATAGTCCTACAAGAGACAAAAATGAGTGTTAAGTGAAATTCTCGCCATACAATCGCTTACATGGAGCAGGTGAAAAAATTATCTGCAATTACATTGAAAATGAAGAAAGTTACACAAATAGCAGAACATTATCAAAATTATTTTGTTTTTCAAATTTGAAGAGGAAGAAATTTTATAAAACCCCTGCATTATGGTTTATGGTGGGTCAAACAAGAGCCAGTCCCATAGCATAAGGGCCAGCGAGATTATAAAGAAAACATTTTTGAAAAAATTTGAATTGACTGCCATTTCGACCACTTGAGTAGCAATCAGCAAATAGTGGAGGACGGAAATCCCATGACTTGATAGACAGTGACAGGTATGTTGACAGATGTCAATGACACACAGACAACTGACAAGAGACCGACAATGACAGTCAGGGATACCAACCCACGACCACAGATACAGAATGCACAGCCAATAAATGTTTGTACTGTATGAACATTGAAGTTATGAAGTTATGAAATATGAAATATATATATTTCAGCAGAATGGTAATTCGTAGGGAACGTAATTGACAGGAACTGTATTTTCTGGGAACGTTATTCATCGCAATGTAATATTGAACCATAATTTGTGGAAATGTAGACATATAATAACAAAACGTAAGTCGTCAAAATGTGATGGTATTGAATGAGAACCGTATTCAATCAAAACAGTGATTTATCAAAGCCGTATTCCATCATGACGGTAATTTATCATAATCTTATTTTGTCAAGAGGGTATTCTATCAGAATCGTTTTATATCAAAATGTTAATCGAACAGATCCTTATTCCATAGCAACAGTGAATTGGGTAGGAACGTTTTTCATTATATTACAATGCGATTCTCACAGGTTGA